TGTAAAAACGCAAGAGAAGAAAAAATTGAAGTGCGGAAGGCATGGAGGGCCCTGAGTGAAGAAGAGAAAGATAGGTATAATGAGAGGGCAAGGAAAACGAAGCCACAGAAAGTTGAGAAGAAGTATGATGTTCCCTTGTACACCCGGTGCTCATTGCCCAGATTTCTATCATTGGCTGAATATGTGAAGAAGAACAGGCGGTTGAGGCAGAAAGTTCAGAGGATGGGATTTGGGAACTTGCTTAATGTGAAAGCAACTTCCACGTGATCTACTTGTGTCATTGTTGAGATGCTATGACCCACCAATGCATTTTTTGACCATTAGAGGGCAAGGCAGGCAATTGAGGCAAAAGATGTCCATGAGTTTCTAGGTGTACCTGACAGTGGGGAGGAAGTGAAATATGATGTTAGTGAGGATGACTCGGAATACAAGAGGTTGAAGGACACTTATTGGAAGGTTCCATTTACCCAGATACTGAAGAGGATATTATTTGGGGAAGAAAGCGACAATTTTGAGTTCCTATTTATGCTTTATACAGTTGGAGCTTTTTTATGTCCTGGGTCAAGCACAACTGTACATATACGTTTGTTGAAAGTGATGCGTCACATGATGGATGGGTTTGGGAAATATGATTGGTCAATGTACATAATCAAGAACCTGTGGAAGGAAATGGGAGACTTTGTGAAGATGACAAAGAAGAAGAAGAAAGGAACCTGCAATGTTGGAGGGTGTCTTTATTTGCTGCTGGTAAGTCAATATTTTTCTTATGGTTCATTATATTTTTGTTTTATGTTATTGTTGCAGAAGTGTGACTATCTTTATTTGGTTTTGCAGCTGTATTTTGCTGAGCGTTTCCCGCTGGGATTGTCTGTTGACCGGGGTTCAACAAGCGCCATTGAATATTGGACCGAGGAGAAGATAAAGGAGAGGGTGGAGAAAGAGAGAGGTAGCAGTATGGGAATATTGCATGGAAGCAGTGGCAGCGAGGTATACTCAGCAGGACATGAGGACAGTCCAATTCTGCAGTCTTTAGATCCGGTATGTGGGAACTTAGAAAATATACGTGACCTGAGTTTAAGTCAGTCTATTAGCAAGGTTGATACTTGAATGACAAGACTTTATTTACAAATGACCAGTGAGATACTGGCATTCGATAACAGTGAACAATTTTTTTGATATCTTCATTTACTGTGTATGCAGGCATTGAAGGAGTTGAGGGCTCGTTTTGTGAAGAAGCTTGAAGAAAGCCAGAGGACGTTAATAAAGGCTCTTGATGATGAGCTACTCAAACTGCAGATTGGATTGAACGCTAAAGTTAAGGGGATGGGGAATGAGAATGCCACTGCTAAAGAAGGGGTTGAAACAGTTGGTGATGCAGCTGGTAACGATGCTGAAGAAGCTGATGATGTTGACCGAGTGGTGAAGGAGATTGCAAGAGAGGTTGCAGCGGGAAGTGCAAATGAGGAACTTGATGAGGATGAAACTAGCAAAGGAGATGATGAGAAGGATGAGGATGAGGATAAAGAACAACATGACCTTCATGACAGGGAAGTCAGTGATGATTACATGGTTGAGGAGGTGGAAGAAGAGGGTGACTGTGATGGTCATGGAGGTGATGACGACGACGATGAGGATGAGGAGGAAGATGACCATGATGACATGGAAGTCAGTCATGATTATGTGGTTGGGGAGGCCGAAGATGATGATAAGGAGGTTCGGGATTCAGATGATGAGGGTGAGGAAGATACACATGTATGACAATGACCCCTACCAATATTCCTTTGCTGTTGGATCGCGAATGGGTGAGCAGTGATAGTGGGGAGGAAGTCAGTCATGATTATGTGGTTGGGGAGGCCGAAGATGATGATAAGGAGGTTCGGGATTCAAATGATGAGGGTGAGGAAGATACACATGTATTGACAATGACCCCTACCAATGTTCCTTTGCTGTTGGATCGCGAATGGGTGAGCAGTGATAGTGGGGAGGAAGGAGGGCCTGAAAAATCGATTGACCTTAGGAGGTCAACAAGGGCAAAGAGTTCCACAATTAAATCTCCGTGGATAGAATTCAAGGCAGCTCCGAGGACGAAAAGGCCAAAGGAGGAAATGGACATCTTTTTCACTTTAATATCCCGTAGACCCAAGGGAGAGGAAGAGGGGAATATGTACCTATATCCCTAGCTAGCGTTTTTTTTTAAATGACACAGTGTGCCCTGACAATGACAGCGATAGAATTGAAAATGACAATAAAATACATGGGGATGACAAGTATTGATGTCCCCAACACCATACTTTCTGTCACTGACATCTGACAATGTTTGCAGGACAGTTATCAAAATGTTTGATGAAGATATAGACCGACAACAGCTGTTTTCCCTGGGTGGAGTGAACAGAGTAAATAACAGGGATTTTAGAATGCTCTGTCCCTGCACCCATGATTATGTTTGATAATGTTTGGTGAGATTATTGTATCAGAATGACGTTTTCACTTGTGTTCTGTAGGTATTTAATTTGGTGTGCAAGGCAGTGATGGAGGACATGAAGGCAAAGTTGGGGCCAAGGAAGAGGCACATTTTCGATGTTGATTTCATGGTGAGGTTGCATAATTCCAAATGCAAATACTAATGACAGCAATTGAATTGGAAATGACTTGTTCTCTGTTAATGGATTAACAATTTCATGTCATGCAGAACATGATGGCACATGATCCAACCTAGAAAGCCCAAAAATATAAGAAGCTCTTTCTTCCTGAGTTCCTTGGCTACAACTTAGCTGAATGTGATTTCATAATTGGTCCAGCTCTTGTTGGCCAACACTGGTTTTGTGTTGCCATTCAGCTTAGCACATTGGATTTCCACATAATAGACTCCATGAGGAACCATTTCGGAACCAAGGACAGAAAGCAGAAGAAGAAGGTTGTCATCAAAGACCCAGTGGAAATGGCTGTGGATGACTGTGTAAGAAAAAACTCATTATCTTTACCTTAGTTTTTGAACTTGGAAAATCATTAAACTTTCTATGTTGGTCCTGAATCTTGTTGCAGAGGATGAGGTTAATATTATACTGGACTTGGTCAAGCCAGGATTGGTTGGGAAAAAGCCAATGTCTCCCATGATATTTGTAGAAGTTCCCCAGCAGAATAACCTGTCAGTTTTGTCAAATTCGATTTCTGTGTGGTGAATGCACATGTCAGATGTGTTAACTAACTGTGCTGATATTGTTGCGTCCACAAGAGGGATTGTGGGGTGCACTGCATGATGTGGCTGAGAAGATGGGAACCTGGTGTGACCCTTACCTACACAGAGGAAGAAGTTGCTGGCTTTCGTCGTGACCTGACATGGTGGTTGGTGAATCATGAACAGAATGAAAAACGTGACGAGGCATTGGCCCTTATTCGACGACCACAACCAACCAAGAGCACAAAGTCCAAGAAAAGGCGTCGGTCTTAGATGTCTCGATGTTAGGGTCATAATTCACTTGTCTTCTGTTAGATTGCTGTATGTAATGTGCATTGTAGGCTGACTAAAAATTTACTGTGTATTGTTATGGTTAACAGAGATTAGTGTCCATAAATGTATGATAGTTGAGATCCATGATGCCAATTTATTCCCCAGTGACATGAATGAATCTGGGTTTAACCACACCAAAACAGATGATGACAACAACCCCATTGGACATGTGCTATTGGTTTTCATTTTTTGTTCAGGTCACTAAATTTTACTTCAATATATCCTGTTGGTATCCAACAGAAAATGACACCAAGTGAAGTGAATATAACAGCGATAATGATAAGGATAACCTAGTCTGATTTTACAACATCAGTTCAACACGGCTGTCAGCTTATGCTGATAGCATCACTGCCAATGACTAGAACAAATTTAAAAATGACACCAAGTGAAGTGAATATGACAACGATAATGATAAGGATAACCTGGTCTGATTTTACAACATCAGTTCAACACGGCTGTCAGCTTATGCTGATAGCATCACTGCCAATGACTAGAACAAATTTAAAAATGACAACAAGTAATGCGCCATTAACAAAAGCTAACATCCCCATAACAGTAACTTCCTTTCATGTATTCAACAACAAGTAGACATTAAGATACTAGCCACACTTAATGCTCCCTTATCACTAAAATTTCTATCAGCTTACTTACAAAAAAATGTCTCCACCTAGCTCCTAACTATAACCCGAGTCCCAAAAAAGTTGACAAGGGCGGAGCATACAACTATGTACACCAAAAAATGACCCATCCCCACTATACTCGAAACTTCATGATGGGTTAGGATTTTTGCAATTCCTCCTTGTGTGTCCAGGCTGGTGGCATCTTCCATAGTGGTATATCCGTTTGTTATGGAACTGTGATTCATCCCTGTTTACTTTTGGCCTTCCTGGTGGTCGGGATGTCATGGGAGGTAGCAAGAAAACTTACTCACTGACATTTTCTATTCTATAGTAGTTATTTGGGTGAGGCATGTCTATTGTTACCACAAGAATCATACTGCGAGCATAAATCTTTTCTTGTGATGGCTTTTTATAGCAATTATCAATATAATCATAAACATTGCCGTGCACAATCTTGATGGCAGCACAAGCATGGGAACAAGGGATCCCCGTCATTTGCCAAGATCTGCAACTACATTGGTGTAGTCCAAGATCAACCCGATGGTCTCCACGTGATGTTGTCACCTTCACTCTTCCCCCACCATAATTTTCAAGCATAAATATGGTCAGACCCAGCCACCATATCCAGCACCTTACTCTCTATATTTGGACCAACGCAATTCTTCCATTTGGTCATAGCCACATAGGAGGCATGCAGCTTTCTTGCAACTTTATCTCAGTGCTCATAGATCAATTGGGGTACAGTATGCTTTCTCTTATTCATCATCCATGCATTGAATGATTCTGCTATATTACTTGTAATATTGTCCCATCTTTTATATGGGAACCTGCTTTTAGCCCACCTATCTACATCCCCATGATGAATAAGCCAATCAAATAGCCTTGGAGAAAAAGGATCTCATGTCATCCATTGCTGCCTCAAATTTCTCATCCGTCCTTGCGTATGCAATTTTATCCAATAAATATAGTGCATCCTCCTTTGATCGGCCATTTGTCCTTGTTTGCCCCTTATTCATTTTCATAACTTCTGAACTAAAATTCTCCTTGATGTGTCTATAACAAAAGGCATGCCTTTGACCCCCAAAGATTGATGCCACTCCTCCGATGATAGCATTGTGTCGATTTGATACAATCGTTACTTCCACAGAACCCAAGATTTTTTTTATCATATAGAAAAACCACGTCCAGTCATCTAGTATTTCTCCCTTCACAATTGCAATTGCAAATGGCAGCAGCTCGTTATCTGCATCATAAGCTGAAGCTGACAACATTGTCCCCTTGTATGGTCTGCTTAAGTGAGTTCCATCAACATACATAATATGCCTCACGCCACCCAATAAACCCTCAATGCATGCCCCGTAGGCAATGAAAACACGCTCAAACCAGTTCCCAATAGCAGTCCATTCAGCCACTGATTTTTCATATGTTTCCTTTATCCTTTCGCATACCCATGATATGAGCATGTATGATTGTTCAGGCCTGCCATATATGTCTTCCAATGACTTCTCTCTTGCTCTATAAGCCTGTTTATATGTTAGATCAATCCTATACTCTCGTTTCAACGTCTTCCTTATCTCAGAAGTGCGCTTGTTGCATGATCCCTCATCTCATCAATTATTATTGATGAGTTCAAACTAACTCTTCCATTATGCATCACGTCCAAGCTATCTTGGGCAGAATGAACATGCCGGTTTATAAATTTCGTCACTCGTAGCACATCACAACTCTTCCCCACTTGATTTGCACATAGCTTCCATGGACAATCCTCAACTTTACACCTCATCGACATGAATTCCTTGCTATTCCTCATATACTTGGCCACAAACTTGTTTGCAAGTGCAAACTTGTATACAGACACCCGAAATATATCTGCACTAGGAAAACGTTGGCCCACTCCTGTTAAAAGTCCCCTCCATTCCGCATGAACCATCTCACTACCATCCGTATCTTCAGCTCCGATAGATTTATCCACATTAGGGGGCCCACTTATTTTATCATTGTCACATTCACGAGCATTTTCTTCACTAAGCAGCCATAATCACAACACAAACTAATAGGAGACGCATCCAGTTCCGTTTGCTGTGACATGCCCATGAATCTCTCTGTTCTGCATTCATAATGACAAGACTCGTTAACACAAATGCCAAGAAGAAATTCATAAATGACAACAAATAGTTAGGACAAACTTCCACTTATATTTCTACATTGTCCTTTGGTTGGGGACCCACTTGTCTTTTTTCGGCCACATACACATGACCGCTGTTCCCATTGTATTGAAAGAGGTTATACATTTCAGCATTGTCATGAAGGTCAATCAATGTCTTCTCATCAAAGGCCACTGTGTACTTAATGTCATAATTTCTTCCATCACCACCAATCCACTCAGATATCATTAGCCTCAATTCATCAAGTCTCAGCCCATCCTTAATGCTTCTTAACCTCACGCCACCTCCATTATATCTCACTTTACCTTCACCATTTGTCACAAATTCCCCCCCACATGAAAATAACAGAACAGCTCCTTCCCACAAGATGACCTAGCTTCGAAATTCATTTATCTTCATTACCTGCACTGATAATAGAAGTCGAATGATTATATGACTTAATACCATCATCATCAACTTATACGACCAACTTAGGGTTTGACACATGCATGCTTATAATTTGCAATAAAACACTCATTTCTTTCCTGTCCACACTAATGCTTCATTTTCTCAGAATCAATCCACTCCATTATTCGAATCTCCCTCTAACATTGTCCCTTTATCTGACACTAATCACTCTAACCCACTTGTGACACCATCAAACCCCTCTCCCTCAGTGTTTTTCCTTCCCCATGCATTCACCCTCTGATCACCGTCCTTCCCCACACTTTCTATATACCCACACCGTCTCCATGCTTCGCCACCCTCTCCACCTCAAAACCATCCCCACATCGACAACATTGCCATCCAACGGGAAGAGGAAAATCAACCGGCGCATAAAGGAGAGGGACAAAAGACAAAGGCCAACAATATAGTCTGAATACTAACCTCGCTTCCGTCGTTCAGTTGTTGCTTCGCGCATTCATGCTCCCACGTTCATGGTTCCTCCCAAGTTTTTCCTCCAGCTCCCACCACAACTTGCACACTTCCACCGGTCACTTTTTCTGTTTGCATATGAGGGGCTGTTTCGTAATTATGCAACATTTGCATAATCCCAAATCAGGCAACACTTCCTTATCTGGTAATACATTTGCTTAGCTTTCCATTTTGGCATTTTATTATTTCAGGCTTCTTTATGTGTCATTTTCCCTTTTTTTTTTTTTTTTAAAATCTGCATTGTAAGCAATAGAATAAATGCCGTGTGCATCTTGACATATATGCATATTTATATGCACACTTTGTCATATATGCATGTTCGTATACACACTTTGTATGGTGTTGAGTTACACATGACGTTAGTAAACAAAATTTATGGCGAAGAATTTATAGCTCACGTGACACCCCGCACCTCTCTGGGAGGTTGTGAATTATGTATCCCGTGTTGTTAAATTACGGGTTGTGTATGATGGGTATATGGATTCCTTTCTCGATAGTAAATTTTCTTTAACGAAAAAAAAAAGTGAACAAAGCCTAGTACAGACAAGGATGTATCTTGGAGATGTAAGTGTTTGTATCTTGGAAGGAAGTTTATATTAATTAATATTACGAGCGGTGATAAGGTAATGGGATTTTGAATTTGAAAAACTGAAGGAGCGAAATTAGGGATTGAATTTCTGTGTTGTAGTATTTCCAAAAAAAAAAAACCCTAAAAGGTTTTATATGCTTTTGTGTGGCAGCCTCTCCGAAATAGTTGAATCTAACATGGCACTCTAGAATTGCATGATGCATTTGATTCAGCTCTGCCTACCTATTTTTATGGATTATGTAGATTCTATTCCAATCCTGATTTCCATTCATGTTCTTATTCCTTCCCAAAAAAAATCTTCCATTATACTAAAAAAGTCCTAAATGATTGCATTGTATGATCTTATTCTCTCCATACAGGAGGAGTTTGAGCTCAAGGACCAAAAAGATTGATATCTAATTTGAAGGGTTAAAAAAATTATTTTTTAAGAAAAAGGACTAAAAGACTAAACATCAAAAGTATATCAACCTTATTAACCTTTTTTTTTTTTTTAAATTTTATACAATTAAACATACGTGTATAAATATAAGCACATCAATGCTAAGTTCAAACATATGACTTCATTCAAGCGTGACTACTAAGACAACTTATTATTAAATTATTACACACAAAAAAAAGCTTGCGGGTAATCTTGAATTATTGAATATCTTTCGTGTTAAATTTTAAATTTAATTTCATAAAAAATGGGTGATTTTTCTTTTCATGTGCTTAAATTTTCAAAAGAAAAGAAGTGAAAAGGACAATGATGAAAATGAAAAACAATTTATACAATATAGATGATGATGTCAAATCACTTAAAATTTAATTACTCAAACAGAATAAGAGCATACTAAATTAGAAAAAAGAAAATACTATGCTCATATTATTACCAGAATACTCGAGAAACATGATACGATATGCCAAACAAGAAAGGCAAAAAGGGGGGGGAACTGACAAACACACAGAAACTATAATATCATACAAAACCAAATTCTTCAGCTAATTTGTTCTTCCTCGATTTGCACGAACTCTATTTCTGGTCTCTTTTTTTTGTTTCTTAATTTGACCTCCAAAAGTTCTAACAAGCCACTGAGGTTTTCCAATTAAGAATATAAGATATCCCATGAAAATTCCAAATATCATCCCACATCCATATCCAATGGCTACTGGTTTCCAACCAAAATCAAAGAACATTGATGAAGATGGTTGTGGCAGTTTTCCTTCATCCTTGCTGCAACTTTTTGTCAATGGAACTCCGCACAATTTTGAATTTCCCTCATATGAAACTTCTAAGAATGTGTCAAATTGCTTACCTCTTGGTATGATTCCCTCAAGCTGGTTCTGTGAAAGGTTCAGAATAGCCAGAAAGTTGAGATTTGTCAATGTTGGAGGAATCTCACCCACAAGCTTGTTCCATGATAGATCTAACCATTCAAGATTTGTCAAATTCCCCATTGATTGAGGAATAGAACCAGTGATTCCATTGTGGGATAAATTTAGTCCTTTCAGTGAATATAACTCACCAATCACTTTTGGAATCTCTCCATCAAATTTATTACTTGACAAGTCAAGAATAGTGAATGCTTTTAAGATCTTTTCAAGCTCCCTGGCATTATCTTTCAGATTGATCTTCACTGAATACTGATATAAGGGATCATTTCTATTTTCCATGTACAGTGATCCTGTTTCAACACTGTCTACCTTGACCATTCCTTTAAATTCTTTGATGTATGCTGCTGGCAAAGACCCACTGAAATGGTTGCTGGAAATATCAAAGATCCTTAACTTCCAAAAGGGATGCTTGGTGTTGGAACTAGTAATAGTTCCATGCAGCTTATTATCTCTCAAAACAAGTGCTTGCAACTCTGGTAGACCTTCAAGCCAATTGGGAAATGTGTCCTCAATCTGGTTCTCTCCCACATCCAAAATTTGAAGTTGATCACAATAAGCCAAGGATCTAGGGAATGGTCCCTCAAGTTTGTTGTTATTGAGATTTAAAGTTTTCAACGCACTGTTCTTTGAAAAATTGTCAGGAATAGTTCTAGTAAGGCCATTGTTCCGCAGGTCTAGATTAGAAATGGATGGGAAGGCCATAAGGCACTGTGGAATAGGGCCTGACAAATTATTGTGAGACAAGTTGAGTATCATAAGTGAGCTTGCATTGCAAATCAATGATGAAATTTGCCCACTTATTTTGTTGTTGGAAACTGAAAAGAACAAAATACCCCAAGGTGGAATTGGTAGATGTCCTTGTAACTTGTTGAAACTAAGATCAAGAATTTTGATATCTCTCATTGAAAAATACTCAACTGAAGTCAAAAGATTGTGAGAGAGATCCAAATAAAACAAAGAACCATTCCCCACATCATTGAACCATTTGGGAATGGTCCCTTGGATCTTGTTGTTTGAAAGAGATAAAATCATCAAATCTGGAAGCTTCACTAAAAATTGGGGGAAGTTATTGATGTTTAAAGAAGATAAATTTAATGTTGAAAGTTTGGTCAGTGAAAGATCAACATTTTCATTAAAGCCACTCATTAGTGAAAGAAATTTATTGTTTGAAAGATCAAGAGTCCCTAGATTTTGGAACTTTGAAAATTGGTAAAAATCAACCAGTCCACTCAAATTATTTGAGGATAGACTCAAGAGAGAAAGATTTGTGAGGCCAAAAATTGACTCTGAAAAATTTCCTTCCAACCTATTGTTGGAAAGATCAAACTTTTCCAATGAGTAACTTGAAAATTGGCTAATGGACCCAGTAAGATGGTTGTCATTAAGATGCAAATCTTTCAAAGATGGTGAAGAATAACACCCAGAAGGAATTGTTCCATTGAACAAGTTATGAGACAATTCTAACTTAACCAACTTAGAAAGTTTGCAAATTTCATTTGGAATTGGACCAACTAGTTTGTTAAAGCTACAATCAAAAGAAGAGAGTTGAGAAAGATTAGACAAAGGTGGAAGCTGTCCTCCTATGTTGTTTCCAAAAATTGATAAACTCTCTAGTTTGCTAAGCTCTCCAAACACATTTGTGATTTCACCATTGAAATTATTTTCTGAAAAATCCAAGACAGTGAGATGTTTCAGACTTGAAACTAATGATGGGATTTGTCCACTAAAATCATTATTACTAAGGATTAAGGAAGAGAGAAGCTTTAGGTTTGAAAGGAATTGAGTCTCACCACTCAATTTGTTTGAGCCAAGGTTCAAATGAGTTAGATGAGTGAGATTCTTGAAGCCCAGAGGAATTGGTCCTTGAAATCCACAACTTCCCAGATTTAAATTACTAAGCTGCCTCAAATTACCTATCGAATCAAATATTCCTCCTGAGAAAGATGTGAGGCTGAGATCCAGAGATGAGAGAGGAGAGCTCCAATTGGACTTTGGAAGTTGACCTTTAAGATTATTATTATCTGACAAATCTAGCTGTTGAAGATTTTGTAAACGAAGAATGTCACTTGTGATGTTTCCCTGCAACTTAGTATCTTTAAGTTTGAGGGAAACCAAAGGGGATGATGAATTCACAAACAGATAAAAGGAGCTTGGTGTAATAGAAGACATGTTCACATAATCTAAGACAAGCTCTCTTAAATCAGTCATGTTTAAAATCATTTGTTCCCATGTGGATTTTTCAAGTCTCAAACTCCCCAAAATAACAGACAAATCAAGAGAGACTAATTTAGACAATTGTGTGATTCTGGGAGGAATTTCACCTGTAAAAAGAGACAAGCTCAAATTTAGATGAGTGAGATTAGGAAGGTCACCGAATTGAGATGGTATTGAAGACCCTTCAAAATCATTGTAAGCCAAGTTGAGTGTTTGAAGATGAATAAGTTGAAAGAGTGTGCTATTTGAAGTGAGTTGACCTTGAAGAAAACTTAAACTAAGATCAAGGCCAATCACATGACCAGACTCAGAGTCACATGTGACCCCATCCCACAAGCAGCAATTTGAACTATTCCCCCACGATCTTGTTTTTGAAACAGATGAGGCTGTGAATTGATTCTTGAATTGGAGAAGTGCAGAGTGATCAAGGTGATTACACAATGGATCAGGGGAAGAAGAAAGGGAAGGAAGAAGAAAAACGAAACAGAGTAGAATTGAAAAGGCCATAACAAAAGTTGGAAGGCAAGGAGTGAAAGATGCGCATGGCAGCCAGCTAACAGATTATGGCTTTATTTATGGAGCGAGTCACGCAAGGGTCCCCCTCTTGATGGTAGCGCCGGGGACACGCAGCTAAAAGCCTTTTCCTAGCAGCTGTCCACGAAGAACACTGGGGCCATATGCAAACATCATTTAATGTTGTGAACAGTTGTTAGAATTTATGGCAGTATAATATTAATATTTCAAAAGTCTTGTTTCTCGGGTTAAATTAAATAAAAAGCTAATATAAACTCAGATTTATTTTGATTTTGATCTCTCAAATTTTAAACTTATAATTTTTAGTGAAAAACATTATATCTTGAAGGTGTAACGATATTAAAATCTGCCAAATCATCGTAAACGATATTAAAATGATGGTACGAACTCACAAATGGCACATTACTAGATTTTTTGTGAACAATAAAAAAAAAAGTTCCTCAAAACACAATGCAAATTACGATTTTATATATATATATATATAAAGATGAGTTCTCGAGACCTAGTACGAACAACTCCTTAAACAACCGGCGACAATTAAAAAAAGGGGCTAAACAACTTTGTTTTGATGACCTTTTTTTATATCCTTTATTATTTATATAAAATCTAGTTAGGTATCATTTAGTAAGTTCATATCACTACTTTAATGCTATTTACAATACTTTAGTGGGTTTTTATACCATTACATCTCTAGGAACTAATACTTAAAACAGACTAAATCTTAGAAACCAAAACCACATGTTCAAAATTTGAAAAACTAAAATCAAAATAGGTTCAAATTTAACAGACCAAAATTATATCAACCCTTAAAAGAAAGTCATCTAAATTTTGTATCATATGTAAATAACTTTTTCAAGTTCCAACCTTTAAAACTTTACAGTTACCTTTACTTTTTAGTTACATTTTTTTTATTATTTAACCAGGTAATAATTTTAAATTTAAGGAGTTTATATGCATATAAATTAAAGTTTAAGAGGATTATATAATAGAAAAATAAAGTTTAATCAAGGGGCATGAATTGATAAATCAGAATTATGCGTGCAGCAGTAGCAAGCAACGACAACATAGTAGTAGTAGGAGGAGTAGGAATAGCAATAACAATAATATTAGCAACATTAATTTGCATGAATATTTTAGAGAATTGCTTGAACACATTACACTAAGTAATTTATATAATTATTTCTAGTGATATGAAAAATGGGCAAGTAGCAGCATCAAAATGAAGAATCGACCACCTAAATAATTAATGACATGCATCATGGTTGTGAGATCATTATACTAGTTTCAGTTTTTAATATAACAGCTAGTTTGATTTTTAATTTGGTCATAGACAGATATCTTATATTTATCTTTTTTTTTAAAGTAGTCCTTGTAAGAGTTACATATATTAAAGGTTTTATCAAATAGTAGTTGTAGTTAATGCACATGATTAATAAGGATATTCTAAGTGAGACAACACATATTTATTATAAATAACTAACTCAACAAACTTTTTAATCTACTTAAACTAGTCAACTAGCTCTTATATTAAGGATTGGAGGTAGTATTATACAAGGACAAAATTCAAAATGAGCTACTATTAATATAAACATACATTTCATTTACACATTCATGACTAATAACTCGATCCCTGACCCTTTTTAATTCTTGTGGCAATAAAAGTCAGGACAGCAAAAGACCATATAAATTAACTAGAGCACAATTTACTTGGGGAGGGAAACTCCTCTACTATCTTCACTGAGAATATGATATAAATTCAAGATTTTGAATTTTATAGAAAGTATAGAAGGAAGTATCCCCTCAATTCTTATTATAAGTCAATTGTAAGTTACAACACATTTTCACATGTCAAAAAATGCATTAAATTAACAAAATATTTAATCTGACTGTTATTAAAGTTTTTTTTTTGTCTCTCTTTCTCTCTACATTTACAAATTATTTTCATATCTTTCTATTTTTGTTTCTCTTTTCAATGAGAATTAAATAAAGTAAAATTGAAAAGCAAGCATTAAATACACTACAAATAATTTAAATTTATAACTATATTTTTTTTCTACAAGTGACTTATATTTTGAATCACAGTGATATATATATTTTGTTAATTCAATTACTTTGTGCTCAAACTCACTATTTATGTGGAAGAATAAATATATGTACATGGATGTACTTTCGTGTGGATACGCATATACATAGTATCATTTTGGTCTTAAATGTAAGTGACTCATGAGATAAAATTTTGATTCTAAATATAAGTTACTTGTAGTATATTTAATACTTATTTTTTAAATTTTATTCTTATTTAATTCTCATTAAAAAGAGAAAAATAAAAGAGATGTCAGAATAATTTATAAACATAAAAAAAAACTTTAATAACCATAAAATTGAAAATTGGTGAGTTTAGGGCATTTTGTTGATATATAACAATTTATTATAAGTAACTTATACTCTTTTGGTTCTATTTATAAAAAAGAGGAATTTTTTTTGTCCTATTTATAAATTATTTCATTAAATTTTTAATATTAATATATTTTTTTGTCTTTTATTTATTATAGTGTAGATATTTATTCTTTTAAAAAGTGTATATATTAAATAGAACTAAAATTAAAAAGTTGTTATCAAAATATTAAACATGAGAGTGTGCAATAAATGTCAGGAGGCAGGTGGCAGGTGACAGGTTGCAGGTGGCAGGTGGGTGGATATTAATTGTCGGCTGGATGACGCGAAGAGATATGAATTTTGAGGGACCAAAATCTCCTCCGCATTTATGAACAGCTTTGACTTTTCTTCCAGGGCTTCCGGGGAATTGTGCCGTTTCTCTCATTGACTTGGAGATATTCAAAAGCATGACTAAAATGACTGTTCTTGCCGATAGCCGAAATGAGAGTTAGAGCCCCGCCAACTTTCGTGAAATAATCATCAATATACACATTCATACTTATGCATACATGCACACGCACACATCATATCAAACATATGTATTTAACCCGCTGGCAAAGGAAAAAAACAAACGCCTCCACTACTATTTATTTCTTTTTATAAAACATTTTCAGCATCCTTTCATATAGATTAAGAAAAATTTTAACTTGTATTAATTTTTTATTAAAATATAATAACCTTTCAATTTTATCCTCATTTAATATATACACCTTTTAAAATTTTAAAAATAACTATATATACTATAATAAATAAAAAATAAAAATATTTATTTTAAAAATTTAATGAAATGATTTATAAATATGACCCCAAAAAATTCTCTATGTTATATATAGGACTAGAGGATTATGTAGTGGACTCATTAAATCTGTTCCAAATTTAAATTTTTTTCTAACTTTACATATTAAATAGGTTGTAAACGAAAAAGAAAAATACAAAGAGTTACATTTAAATATTACTTGTAATAACAAAATTAACAAATAAGTATTAAATACTCTCAAGTCATTTATATTTGGACCAAATCATTTTTCTATAGGCAACTAGACCAAGGAGAGTACAATTTATTAATAGCGTATTAATTTATTTATTTTTAATATTTTTTGTACAATGTATGTAAAACAATATCATGTTGAATCATTCGTCCGTTGGTTCATTTTGCTCTATGAAACGGAAAACTTAGAAAAATTTAGAATATATCAAATAATACCTATAGTGCTTAATATACTAGTTGGATGGTTGGATTTGGTTTTAAATATAATACTCTAATACTATCTGTGGTCCTCATAATAATACTTCATTTGTAGTCTATAAACGAGATCTTATAATTAGGACCAGAGGTAATATATTTTATCTCTTAAATTTATAATTTTTCTCAAAATATCTATATTGATTGTAAGAGGTGCTTATTTAAAAAATAGTTCTAATGCATATGAATACGATAGAAAGTAATTTAAGAACTCGTTTAGAATGTTGTATAAGCAATTTTTCAATTATAATTTACCGAATACGAGGTAAATATGTAGAAAAAGTTTTATCTTGATTTACATGAATCATACTTATAAATATTTATAAATGTGATTTTAAATGGACCCTAAAATAATATCAGGCTGGTCCACGTTAAAGTGGGCCTTCAGTACAAAAATTGGATCGAAGGCAACATCCCACTCAAAGGAACATTTTGGACGTGAGGTGGAAATGACATAAGACTTGATAGGGCTCAGACCCATCAACTACCGCGCTTTAGTAAGTTGATGCAACCCATGAGCTGAGATGACTAAGGACCTTTCAAGCATATTGGAAGTGAAATTGCTAGGGCATATTAAATTGAGAAAATTACTGTGAAGTCTTGATTAAGAAACATAATTATTAAAAAAATCTCAATAATAATATGAGCAGCCCGCAGTAACAAGTCTTAGGATGGTAAATGACAACTGCTTACTTCATTTTACCCGAGGCATAGAGATTACCAAAGTGGGTTTTGCCTCTCCCAACAAAGTCTTTTCCATGCACACTACTTGGTTCGAACCCGGAACATTATGTTTAAGGGAGCTAGCTATCTAGCAATTGTGCCAGGCTTTGTTAGTGATATTATTAATTGTTGACTGTGCATGAGTGTGAAACTAGTTGCTTTGTATTTTGGGCTTGAAAATGGCCGAGTGTAGATGACAGTCATAAGAAATTGTTCTTGCTTGCTTGAAATTTGGAATGTTCTTGGAGCAATAATGGGATCATTTAGAGTATTTTGAACAAAACTCTTGTGAGCATTCTTGGGTTTTGGTTGTAACAAATTTTTTAGCACAAGCCTATTTTAAAGCCCATATAAATTTACCGAAGCCCAATTTAGTTGGTGGAGGCCTAAATTACCTTTTGTAATTATGGTCATGGACGTTAAATTAATTGACTAATAACATAGGACATTGACCAAGTGGGCCTCGTAGAATATTTTCTAACGTGGGGGGACAATTTGTCAACGTGGTAGAAAAAGGGGGCACAATATTACTGCTACGTCTGTGGTATTAATCTAGAAGGATTAAAAAAAATTATAACATATATATTACATAATCTT